CAGGCTCAATATGTGTCACACTTACAAGGACTCAAAACAACCCACAATCAACGCCCCGCTGTCCCGTTAGTCTTTTGTCTTTGGCCACGACTCCGACGGTGGCTCCGAGTCCAACACCGACTCCGGCTCTGGCTGGACTCTGCAGTTTTTCATCTACGACGCAGCATCAGTAGCAAACGGCTGCAGCTGCTTCAGCTTACTGCAGCCCATCCATCTTTGCAACTGCTAAAGGCAGAGCAGGCAGCAGGGGGCAGCAGAGGGCAGCAGGGGGCAGCAGGAGCGGAGCACAGCTCGTTACGTATACGCTACAAATTTTTGCCAGTCAGAAGCAGCCGCTTTCAATAATATCAATGCTTACGAATGCCGAGCAATACATAAAAAGTGCGACTGCAACAGCAACAGCAACAGCAGCGACAGTTGCTGCTGGAGCTGCAACATTTGGCTTCAGCAACATTTGCCACTGCTGCAGTAACTACAAGAGTTGTGACTACAATAACATTAATTATTGCTACAACAGCAACAACGACAACGACAACAACGACAACAACTCGTCTGTCTTAGCAACATTTGCCATTGCTGCAGTAACAACAGTTGCTGCTTCGTCATTAGGAAAAAACAGTTGTTGCTGCTGCACGATGGCGAACAACAACAACAGTTGCCGCATCGCTCAGCAACATTCGGTCCAGCAACAACAACAGTTGCTGCTGCAGCAGCAACAGCAACAACAACAGCAGCAGCAGCAGCAGTTCGCTTGCCGTTAGCATTTGAAGCACTGTGCCTTTGCCAGCGCCTTTCGAGTGGCCACTCTGTCACATGGTTGCCAACCGCCCACACCCCTTGCCACGCCCTATGTCGTCCCGCCCCCTGCCATGGCGGTTGGCCCAAGGCCTCTTAACCTTCTGCTTACTGACAAATTGTTCAGAAAACTGCACAGCGCAGCTGAAAACTATGCGTTGGCCGCGTGTCTCTCTCTCTCTCTCTCTCTTTCTCTCTGTGTGTTTCGGCATTAAGAAATGCGAACAATTTGCTAGCTAGAAAAGTGTTATACAAACACATTAACTCATTTCATATCCAGGAAAATGCACTTGCTCAATTGTTGAGTAAACATATAATGTTATGTAATGCCTAAATTAGTGTTAAGCACTATTCGCCTGTGTTATTCGCAACATATATAATTGTTAAATTAAGTGTAATACTGTAATAAGTGATACTGTTTATATTGTAACTATATGATCATGTAGAAAATGAAAACTATTAGGATTGTCATACTTTGATTTTTGTAGAGCAAATTGTAAACTGTTATACATATTGTTATACAAACTTGTATGCACATTGCTAGACATACTGTTATACAAACTGTTATACAAATTGTTATACATTTTTTATACATACTACTATATAAATATACTAGTTATACTAGCTGTAATGACAAATGTGCAAAAGCATTTCATCATTGTCATTTAAACTGTTATACATACTATTATACAAACTTTTATACAATTTGTTCAATCAAACTCTATCTAAGCAAAGGCATTCTTATTTAAACTGTTATACTAATTGTAATGACAACTGTTGCATAATCATTTCATCAATCAATTCATCATTGACTTGCTGTCATTGAAGTCCAAGCTAATAATAGACACATTGCCAATGTCAATTGACTTATTAGACCAATCTATTAAGCACACTGTTATACACATACACATATGCACATGTATGTAGACATATATGTATGTGCGAGTGTATCTAATTAAACCACAAGCAAGATTTTTGCATCAATTTCAATTTTCATGCTGTCCGCAACTGTTATACTAGGCAAGTCATGTCGAAATTAGTTCTGCCCACTAGACAAACTGTTTAACAGTGATTTTAATGACACGTTGGCTCGCGTTCTCCAGCTGCCGCTCTATCGTTATTTATGTATGTATTTATCTATCTAAAGGCACTTGAGTGCGTGTGCGTGTGTGTTTGTGTGTGTGTGTGTGTGTGCGTTTGTGTTTGGACATTAAAAGCTTGTGCTCTTCCTCTTCTCGTTGGCCTTTTATGCATGTTTCGACATGTTTATGCGTCGCTGACGTCACTTCACAATGTGACAAGGCGCATTCATCGTTTTACGAGCGCAGCCACGCCCCTTGGCGAGCAATGGGCGCTGATTGATTGCTGCAATGGCCGTTGCGTGTGTATGTGTGTGTATTTGGATGATTGCTTGTGCGTGCGTACGCGTTTGTGTGTGTGTGTGTGCTTGGCTTTTATTTTCATTTGCAGCGCATTTGTTTGCCATTTAAATGGCCTCTGCTGGCATTGACGTCGACGTCGGCGTCGGCGTTGACGTTGGCGTCACTGCGTCTCGATAACAATTTTAATAGGCCATTTAATTTTTAATTAATTCCTCAAGCGTTTGGCATTTGGCAAGTCATAAAAGTGTTTGCTGTTGTTGTTGCCTTCGTTGATTCTGTTGTTTTCGCTGCCTTTAAAAGGCGTTTAATGACATGTTTTACTGTCGCCTTTTGTGGCTGCATATCATTATGATGATTATATGTAATTTTAATGACATTTACATAAATTCCAGTTCCACAATCAGCCGCTGTCTACTTCTCTCTCTCTTTCTCACTCTCTCTGTCTCTCTTTGATTCGCTTTATTTATTGAACGCTCGTCTATAAGGACGCAACGTATGATTATGTCGCAATCTCATTGCTTAAGCAGACACACACACCCACCGACACAGACACGCACGCATACACGATTACACTCACACATTAATGAAAATGCTGTAAGTCCGGCAAGTGCTGCAGCTGACCGCGCTGGAGCGAGATAGCAACAACTGGCTACAATTTGAGCCTCATGGCATGGTCGGCCACGCCCACACGCCTAGCGAAAAGCATTTATAGCATTTATGCGAATTGTTTGGTTTTATATTTGAGCCATTTTTGTGACTCGCTCTTAATGGCTTTTTCTGAAAATTAATTTCTTAGCTATTAGAGACGTTTCCCAGTGGCCAGCAGCCCGGGCGCCAGTCGGCCCCACATCCAAGGTCCCGCAGAGCCACAGTTTCAATTCAGCCGCACCTACAGTCTCTCACTCCCTCTTTCTCCAAGACTCCTTCTCAGTCTCTCTCTCTCTCTTTCTCTCTCCCTTTCGCTTCCCCCGCTTCTGTATATATTTTGTAATTACTTTATGTCTGAAAATTGCCGTTGTAAAATATTTTATTATTTGTTGGTCGGAGTTGTGCCCTCGCCACCCCCCTTTTGCCCCGCTAACCCCCGCTTAGTCTCTGTCGGTCTCTAGCTAAGGCTAGCTGCGTCTTTGAAGCTGGAAGTATTGCCTGTGAGGCCGGATATTGCTCGTTGTTTGCTTTGCATTTGTTGTTGTTGTTGTTGTTGTTCTCGCTGCTGCTGCTGTTGTTGGCTATCGTAATCAATGGCCACTAATCAAATGAAGCGAGTTGCGTAGCTGCATGCACAATATGCGCCAGCCCTGTCCTCCCTTCGTAGCCCCTGCATTTCCGCTTCCTCGACAATTGGACCAGCCTCTGGGCAGAAGCGGAACCGGACCACTTTCGCCATGAGCCGGAAACTCAAAGCCAGAAGCCACGCCCCTACCTTCCGCCACCAAAAAAAAAAAAAAGGGACTCAAATTTCCACAACAAACCGAAACTCCGCTCATTCGAATGCGTCCACAGGGTGCCCCGGGCTAGGAGCGATTCGAATCATCCGCTCTTTGTTTATGAACAGCTGGAAAATCGGCCAAGAACTCAATAACGATGTTTTATCTCTGAATTATCTGTGACGTATATTGAAAAAAATCTAGCTACTAAAGCTCGGAAGAGTTCGCTGGATTGGAATGCTTATCAAACAGTTGTGGTCATTTTTATGTTATCTAATCAAAACTGTTATACTGGTATGCAGATTAGCTAAATCAAGTTATAATAAAAATGTTATATATTCCTACTAATGAGCTAGATGATAAATAATAACTGTTATATTGACTGATATATGTACGTAACAAATTTTTGTTATTCTGTTATCAAATTGAAGACTGGTATATGTAACGAAACTGTTATATTAATAATTATTTATCACAAAAGTGTTATACTTTCTTCAATTTATTCGTTATTTGTTACATTAACTGTTATAATCTGGAAAGTAGTTGAATTGTTCAAGTCACTGACTGTCATATTACATTGTACGGCCGATCACCGCCTTGATCAAGAATATATATGTGCTCTACGGAGTCTACCACGCCTCCTCCTTCTGCATGTTACATATACAAATTCATTATACCTCGATTTCCCACTTCCAATGGGCGGAGGGTATAAGAGGACAAACAAGATTAAATCTAATGCTGCTCTCTATAGCTCCTTAGGTCATAGAGAATGAGACGCTCCCTCTCCATATATACGCCCCTCAGTTTATACATTACAAACAGATTCATGGACAACTAAGTTGGGAATATAAAAACAAATGGATTTATGCGTAAACCATTTTCATTTTAAATTATATAAATATTTTTCGAAATGAATTTTTATTCCTTGACACGAACCCCTGAGTCGGCAGTAAAAAAAAGTAAACGTTGTCGTCTCATGTCGCATTTGGCTCTTTAAATATTCTGCTTCAATCTGCATGTCATGTGGATGACTGAGCGGCCTTTGAAGCGCAACTGCCCCTGTCTCCACCCAACCCAAACCAACCCAACCCCAACCCAGCCTAAGCCATACCAATGGCAACAGCAACAACAACGACAACAACAACAACAACATCAACAACTGAATGAGGTATAATAAAAAACCATTTTTCAAATAGTTTTACTAGCAAAAACTTGAAAATTGCTAAACATAATTGGCAGTTTTTGCATGGCCTGCGGGTCGCCGTTGCCTAAACAGAAATCTTTATGACTTTGCCTGCCTTTTGCTCCCCAATTGCATGTGTTGACTGCAGTGGATGGGGAGCCTGGCCATTGGAGGGCCGACGATGGGGTGGGTGTGTGTGTGTGTGCTGGGGGCATGGTTCCTTATCCGGAGGCCGACATGTGCTCGCCGTTAGTTAGTTAGTTATAACCACATACAATTTTATGCAGACCATATTGTAAATGTTATAATTTTCACTAACAATTTTTGCCATGTGCCTCGCTGTGGGTGCAAATTCATGAAATACAAATGAGGGTGGCCAGGCGGCGGGGCTAGGTCTCCAAGGCGTGTTTTGTAGTCGGCCCCACAGTCGAGAAGTCAGCAGAGGTGCTGTCGGATGGGGGGCGGGCGGGGGACGAGGACGAGGACGAGGACGAGTTACTACATGGATGATGATAATTTTTAGCAACTTTTTCATGGCTAGTGGACAGAGTCCACCTTATCCCTGCAGGTCCAGCTTTAGCTATCTCCTTTCATTCGCTCTCTCTCCCTCTCTCTGTCTCGCTCTATTTCTGTCTCTCTCTAGCTGCTGCTCTGGCAGATGTGCACTTAAACGTGCTTCGGGTTTTAAAGTATTATTACATTAATGCTACATCCAAAAGCATTCGTGTGTGTGTGTGTGTGTGTGTGTGTGTGTGTCGGCGTTTTAATTTTTAATACCCTGTAAATGCAAGCTTGTAGTCTATTAAACGGCAATCTGCGAGAGTGACAATTATAACGGTGCACTGCAATTAATATTGACATGAGATTTAATGGAAGACAGCTAAGAGATTGCTATAAGATGGCTAACTCTTTACTGGAATATCTTAACTCTCAAACCTTAAACATAAATGTTTTTTATTCATTTTACCTATAATACAGTTGGATTTATGTCTTATATTTTATGTATACCCAATGTTATAGTCATTAAAGATTTTTGCTTTTATTTTTTAATCACCTTGATTA